TTATTTCACCGAAACGATTAATCACTGACTTTAATTCTACAAAACCAAGTCGGTTATCAACAAGGAGCAAGGAATACCAGAAGAACTTGTGCAAGACAGACAGAGAGCAATACAAATTCTCAGAGAAAATCTCGTAGAAGCTCAGAACAGAATGAAAATGAATGTAGACAAGAACCGACAGGAGAAAACTTTTCAGGTGGGGGATAGAGTTTTTCTCAAGTTGCAAACCTTTTTCGCCAAAATTCAGTTTCCTTGCGAAAACATTTAAAACTTTCTGCCAAATATTACGGACCATACACCATTACTGAGAGAGTAGGAGAAGTGGCTTACTGATTGGCTCTACCCCCGAGTTCACGCATTCACCCAGTCTTTCATGTATCTCTCCTCAAGCTGAAATTAGGTCCTGATATGCCGACCTCCTTAGATCTACCCCTCACTGATGTTGATGGAATCTTCAAGATCTCACCTTTGCGAGTATTGGCTCGAAAAACAATAGAAAGAAAGGGAACTATTTCTAGTGTTTCGATACAGTGGCTGAATGGGGAAGAAGAAACGGCAACATGGGAGGATGAGAAGTTCATTAAGAGAAAATTTCCTTCTTTTGATCCTTGCGGACAAGGATCACTTCAACAGAGGGGTATTATTATGGATAAAGGAGATGGGGACGGTGGCGAGGTAGCTGTTTTGGGGATGAATGCGACTGAGCAGACTAAGGGTCACGGGGGTCATAATCAGATAAAGGTGAGAGTGATGGGCCACGTGAAAGCAGAGAATAGGCCGACCGGCGAGCAGGCTAAATGAATGGGTCAAGTAGCTAGTGTTGTCTTATTATATTTTAATTAAGTAACAAGGCCCATTGTTTTGGCCCAGTATCTTATTTTACCTTATTTTGTCTTATTAGGGTATTATGTGAATTAATCGGGAAATTATGTCGTCCTGTGAGTTTGTTATGTAAGTGGGAACAGCTCAATGAATGAACAGAATTTGGCATAATCAATTCCTCCCTCATTCTCTGTCTGCTATCTCTCTCTTGTCTTCTTCTATTTCCACCATTTCTGTTCTAATCGAGCTATTATCATAAAATAAATTACAAATAATTACAACAACCATAACACCATCACATTGATTTAATGCAACATATATATGAAGAGGGTTTAATTATCTAAGTCCTAAAATAACTTAAACACTCAAAAATCAAGAGATCCATTTATGAGTGAAAGTCAATGTAAAAAAAAAAAATAGGGGATTAAGGTAAAGATTGGTGAGTTAAGTTTTAATGAAGAGGAAGAAGGAGATTGATGAAGATGTGGATTAAGATAAAAGTGAAGAAGAAGGAGATTGGTGAAGGTAAAATATTTATATTAACAAAAAAATGTAATTTCAATTATTATTAAATTATTTTTTAGGGCAACAAGTACTAATTTGAGGCAACAAATAGCAACACCCTTGAAAATCCAAATAACATATTTTCAACAGCTATGTTTAATGTGGTAGGCATAAAACACTTATGTTTAATGTGGTAGACTGAAGACATCTTTTAAGGTTATTTTAGATAAAAATTAATTTGGGTGTTATTCTTCCATGGTTAAGGGTTAAAATTTTAATTTATGTCCACCATATTGAGATTTACTGTTTAAATTTCATATTTTATTTTGTATTTTATTGCGCTAAATGAGTGACACGTGTACTTAGTGATATTATATTTGTAGATTAATCATTTATCCAACGAAATAAAATATTAAGAAAATGTAAATTAAACTAAATGTACATTTTATACTTATTGAAGTTTTCTTACTTAGAAATTGTTTATATCCAATGTTCCATTACTTGGAGACGCTCTAATAATCCACGCATATAGACTATATAATTTATGGAGAATGCTACCATCTCGTTAAGTAATGGTTCCGTTATGTTTTATAGCCATAGATATACATGTAATCTAATGATGGGTAGTTAATCCAACGGTTCAAAACACAACGGAACCATCCCCTACTAGGATCGTAGCATTCCGCATAATTTAATATTCTATAGCCTAATTTTCACAGCTTGTCTAATGCAGTGCTACTACCGTGTGCCTAGGTACACCTAGCTAGGTGTACCAGGGCAGTTTAAAATGAACATGTTATGTTACAAAATGGACATGTACAAACATGATTTGCACATGTTCATTTTGTAACATAATATGTTCATTTGTGACACACCTAGCTAGGTGTGCCTAGGTATTTGAGGTACGTTTTAAAACAATGATTTCCAAATATTGAAATTATTTAAAGTCTTGAAATTATCACTCTCAACAAACCCTAATGCACGTATATATTAACGACTTATGAATTATGATGAGATAAGAATTATGTGGATACAAATGCCTACGAGAAAAGGGGATTGTTACAAAAAGGTTTTTACACCTGTGAGAGCTCTTTTCAACTAATCAAACAAATGGTGGTGCGAAAACATCAAAATTGGTCCACTCACTTGACATAATTATATAAAATTGATTTTTTTCTGGAATGGAATTTATGATATTGCCGTCATATTAGATTATCGCTGTCACCTTTATTTTCCCAATTCCTATCCATCATTGTCCAATATAATTCATTTTTCATCAAATATTTAACCTGGAAACTGAGTTATGGAGTTTTATCGTTTGATCTAACGCATATACAAATATAACTGTTAATATCCGCGTCCGGCTCCTATTAGGATACCGGTCCGAGAGACTGGGAGTCGGGCGGTGACCGGCCGAACCGAAGAAACCGGTCACCAAGATCGTTCGTGGGAGCCGAGCTGAGCAGAAATCAAAGTCAAAGAGGATGGCTGCCAGGGCTAGTATCTAGGTCGGCACCCCGCCCCCTTTCTGTCGGGGTCGGCACCCTGTCGTCCCAGGTGTATATTGACGTCCGATTCAGGCTCCTTGTTGTTGTCTTGAATTAACAACTTAAAATTAAACACAGCAGGTGTAAAGACAACTAGGATAATTGTTCAATTTGATTTTATTTGTTATAATCACAAGAGAACAGAAGTCGGTTTTAGACTGAAAACCGAGATCGTCTTAGTTCGTGTACAATGTGTTCGAAAAAGATCCTCGTACTATTATAAATTCTACTATTTATAGTACGGTGGCTTTTGTCTTCTTCCTTGAAATGGATAAAGATGCATTTAATGTTGAGCTGCTTCACTTGAAGCGGCGGGAAACATCAATGATTGCCTTTTTGTTTTGTTGGTCCAATCAGATGCTTCTAATGATTACTTTCTGTTGGAATATTCAAACTTTGTAGTAGTCGGTCGACATAGAAGAACTTGTTTTCGTCGTAATATTTGTTGAACTGAAGTCGGTGTACTCGTATTAGCTTCAAATATCGGTTCTTTTGGAAATTCTCGGAAGTCGGTAATTCTTCATAAGTCGGTAATTAATTCTAAATAATACCGACTTACTTGTGAGCTTCTTCTTGGGAGGTTATTTCTTCAATAATGATTAATCTGTCTTTAATCTCGGCAATCAAGTCGGATATCAACACTCCTATAAGGGTAACGGTCCGGAAGACCGAGAACCGGGCGAGGCCGGCCCGGTTAGTGAGGCCGGGTACCGTGACAATTGAAAAGTGACGATCTGAGAAATGGTCAAAATCGATTGGAGTGTCGGACGACACCACACCCCGAGGTCGGCACCTTGCCACACCCGTCATAGGGCTGACCGACTTAGGGTGTGGGGTCTGGGAAACCGAGGGATGGACGCTGCTATAGCCCGGCTCGAGACCCTATCGGCTCGACCCTCGTTGGGGTTAAGGATCCAGAAAACAATTAAATAAGGCCACTTGTCAACGAATGATTGCCGATGGGACACCCCAGACTAGTCTGCAGGACTAGGACGTCTAGCTCGGCCAAGGAGCATGCCCGCATTAAATGCAGCTCACACCCGCATTAAATGCGTGGCAGGTAATGATTGGGAAACCCCGAAATCGCTCCCAATCAGTCAGAGAAACGCCGGCTCGTCCTGCCAAACTACTGTACGGCAAGATCAGCGAACAGTACCTGAACAGTGCCGTATTAAAGACCTCTATAAATAACAACCCCCTCATTTATTTTGGGGTTGTTGAATCCCAACTGTCAAAACTCTCTCTACATTTTCTATCTCTAGACTTGTAAGGAATTCGTGTAAGAATCTGTAAGTATATCGCAAGTGTCGACCTCGTACGAGAGGCCGACCTCGTGATCTTTTAATAAAATCATAATTAAATCATATTTCTTTGTCTTTTCCCCATTACCATTTCATTACTCAACTTTTTAGCCGTTGACCGGAAACGCCCGTCAACAATAACCACTGATAGAGAATATAATACCGACTCGACCTAATCGGGTAAAGATCCGTGAGATGGAGGCCAAGCAAGCCTAATGGCCTACTCAGCCATTAGGTTTTACCTAATGGTCTAATGGTCTACTGGTCTACTTGTCTAATGGTCGAGCATAGATCGAGGGTTGATCGGGCGACGACCCAAGCAACGAGATGACTTTACCGGTCGAGCATAGACCGGAGGTCGAATGGAGCATCGACCCACTCAAAGGGTCGAACTTAGACCCGGAGGTCGACCCATATGTCCTGGCATCGAGCCAGAAGATAACCCGTACAATTAAACGCTATATATATATGTTAAATGTCGCATGTATTGGGCATCATCTCATTATTACTTTCACTATCACATTTTACTGCTCCGAACTCTCTCTATTCAGCGATAATGACTTGGGCGTCGGAGGGTTTTGCGCCGGAGTAATTTCGGCGCTTTGCAGGTACCGGCGAATTCAAAGTGCATGGACTGGACCACACTCACCGACCTACCATTCAAATCGAAGAAGACCTGGCGAGAAACCAGAGTCATTCGTCTTGGACCTTATCAACCACACTAATGTATTAATCAAATGATAAAAAAGTCGATAATTTTTGTCTTCGGGACAGTTTTCAACTGAACGCTCATACTTAATATGATAATTTCATACGACATTATTAAATGACTATATTAAGTTTGGTCATCGTCGGTAGGTAAAGGAAGCTATCAATATAGTTGGGAAAAAAGTAATAAAGAAAAGCATTGAGAAAATGACCTTGTATATTGTTTGATCTCATCGACCATTTTAACTCCTTTTTGTAAAGATCCACGTTTTACGTGTGACCAAAAATATATATCTTGAATCATTAGATTTCAGTTAATTTTACTTTATTATTTTGTAACTAAACGATTTCCCAACAGCATGATTCTAAACTTGTTATCCAACATGAAATATTCCTACTTAGATCAGTGAGGCTAAAGCCTGAAAGCCTCAAAGCTTAACAGCATACACACATTAAAATGTTCCTTTTTTTTTCTCTGAAAATTTTCACAAATCAATTTTATATATGCATCATAGAAGAACTAATTGACTGTTAACGTAGTTTGTTTCACATTTTGATACATGGTTTTGGACTTACAATAGAAAATTTCATCCTCCGATATCGAGTTTTTTATTATTATTATTATTATTCTTGTTGTTGTTGTATATATATCGCATGGTATTGTTTATAGCTCTGTGCGTAGATACAGATTTTCAACTTTTAATTTACGAGGAAATAAAATTAAATGAAGTTTACACTTAAAATTATACTTATCAATTATCATCACATTAATAGACATTATATACACCTTAGTCCATGCTTATGCGTTTTTATAAGTTTACAACTGATGTATACTTTCATAATCAAACATCATATTTAATTTAAACTACAATATAAGTACAAATATAATATTTTGATATTTAAACTGCAATATAAATAAAAATATAACATTCTATAATATAAAATATACAAATTTGATGAGAATGTATGATTAATTAACGCGGTTTTGGACTTGCAGGATATAACACGGTAAAATGTTCTGGATTTACACTTAAAAGTGATATTTATCATCACATAACATAGACAACCCAATCCATGCTTATGCATTTTCGTAAATTTACACTAGAGATTTTTTTTTTTTTTTTATTATATATAATTTTAAGTGAATATACTTTGGGCATAACATTTAACTTGTGGAAACGTAAAATTAATACTAACGCTAACAAGTTGAAAGGGGAAAAATCAGATTTATTTATTTTATTTTTTGACAAAAGGACACGTCAGACCTTTAAATGTCCTTGTCTTTGACCGGGTCCATCTTCTCCGCCACCAACCCTCCGCCGGCACCGCCGCCGTTCATTTTCCGGCGGTGCACCCTAACATAGAAATTCAAAAACAGGAGACAAATCGCGGCGTTGAGAACCGAATTGAAAACCCAGGCACCGATCCCATTGCACCCGCCCTTGACGAGGTGCAGGAGGAGCACGCCGACGTGGCACACCAGATTGCACCCCAGCAGCGCCATCTGGCAGCTGACGACGAACGGGAAGCAGGCGGCGGGAAGTCCGACCGCCGTCCAGAACCGATAGCCGTCGACGGCGGCGCAGGCGAGCGTCGTGAGTAGGATGGCGACGACCTGGAACGACTGGGAGAACTCGAGCCAGAGGAAGGCGGTGACGATCGCGGCGGCGTGGGCGAGGAGGTCGGCGAGGGGCAGTCTCCGGCGGCGGGCGGCGGCGATGAGGGGGCGGAGGGCGTGCGGGAACCGGGAGAGGTAGAAGGCGTAGGACCAGAAGAAGACGCGGCCGGAGGGGCGGGTGCCGAGGGGGAAGCAGAGGAGCCACTGGAGGGGGGTGGTGCGGCAGCGGCGGAGGAGCCACCGCGTGTCGCGGATCTCGGCGGCGGCGGAGAGGGCGGTGCCGGCGAATATTGTGGCGGAGGAGAGGGACATGAGGAGGGAGTGGGCGGCGGGGAGGAAGCCGAGGGGGAAGGTGAGGCGGAGGAGGAGGAGGAGGCGGAGGGCGGCGGCGGAGGCAAGGTAGAAGGAGAGGGAGGCGAGGAGGAAGGACCAGGTGGAGCCCCACCACTCGTGGCTCCACCGGAAGCCCACGACGGAGGGGAGTAGTTCGGCGCCTCCCTGACAGAATTTAATGCGATTTGAGGTTTTCCTCATCATTGTCTGACGGGCATTTAATGCTGACAGGCTTTATGTCTTGGCTGGGGGGAATAGGTCAACAGGCTAGGGCGTCCCATCCATTAGCCAATGATTACCCTCCAAGTGGCATTATTATAATACTATCGAGGTCGACACCTTCATTACAGTAGCCCGTCCTGGGACTCCAGGTCGGCACGTTTTCTTTACTTGTCCCTCCGACCCTGGGGAACCTTTCTTCCAGACCGTCACTCTTCAGGTCGGCATCTGGGCTTCGTAGTCGCAAACGCCGGACTAGCAGACGGACTCATGGGGACGTCTAGGTCAAAAAATTTTCCGGTCCAGCTCGGCACTTTATGGGTGGACCGGGTCTCCGGTTTGGCTCTCGGAATCGTGTTGTCCGGTTCGGTCTTATCGGCGAACTCGGATGTCAACATACAGGCCCCCGGGCTCAGAGAGGGTGTACTCGGCATCCTCTGTGAGGCCGTCATCTCAGAACACATCTGAGGTCGGCGCAGGACTTGGACTTGAGCAAATTGCAACCACCATTTGCCCGTTATCTCCAGACCCGAAGCGACGTCCCATTTAATGCGTCGTGACCGTTACGCTTCTTGTCGGTTACGAAAAGACGTGCCGGTTCAGAACCTTTACACGTGTCGCTCATTAATTGGTGCTCTCCAAACGTCGTGTCGTCTCAACGAAACGGTGACTTTCGGGGCGCGTGGCTTCCACGCGGCCGTTTACGGACCGTTGGATCGTTTCGCTCCCAACCGTTGGATCATATCATTTATTTCAAATTTTGAATGTTGCGCCACGTGTGTTGTTGTGATTGGTTCTCTGTGCGTATATATATTCATCTCCTTCTTCTTTGATGAGCTTTACTTTCACGATTTCCGAGCGAACGAACTCTCGAGCACTCAGACTTCCGAGCAGATTTACAGAGCGATTTTCGAGGTCCTCGCAGCTTTCCGGCGACTTTCATATCGGTAATTCCGTTTATCTGAAACCTTTTCCTTCATCTTCTTTTGATTATGTCGAATTCGTCTGAGCACGCGGCGAACCTTTCCGCCGAAGACGGCGGCTTCACGGTGGAAGAGACTGGAGAGCTAGTCGTTTACTCTCCTCCGACGACCGGCGCACTGCAACCCCTTCGAGTGACTCCGATCTCCGCCGTCCGTGTGACGTCGGCGGCAGCGGCGGCGGACCAACGTGGCCAGGGACATTCGGACTTCCCTACCATCGAGATCATCGACCTCGGCTCCGGCCAGTCCGACGCAGAGGAGGTCGAGAAGGAGACCGGCACCCTCTCTCCCGGCGAATCTGATGTTGACGCCGAGCTGGTGGAAGAGACGCTCCGAGGCAACACCTACGGGCGAGAGCGTGTTCCCATGGCGCGCGAGGATGCCGAGGTCGATGCGGCGGTTGAGGCCGCCACCGCGGCTCCTCCCGGGTGTTGGTGCCGTCCTCAGCGAGTGTGGCCTTCCGCAGCTTCAGCGACAGCTTGGGTGACCCCGTCTGTGCTGACCGACCTTGACCTGGCCAAGTTGAGAGGTAAGGCGTGTTTCGGCGCCGGGGTGAGGATCTTCGCACCCTACGCGGGTGAGCGCATCCACTGCCCTCCGCCGGGTTGCATCGGCGTTTACCGGGCGAGTATCCTGCTCGGCCTTAGATTCCCGCTGCCTGCGGCCCTGAACAACATCTTATGCGACCTCGGCATCGGCATCAGCCAGCTGGTCCCGACGGTTTTCGCCAGGCTTGTCGGCCTCATTGTTCTGTTCCGCCGACAAGGGTGGGCGGATCCGACTAGTGCCGAAGTGAGCTCTCTGTTCGTCTTCAAGAAGTCGGGAGAGTCCGGCAACTACTATAACTCTGTTGCTCCGGGTGTGGACAAATCGTTGATCCACAGGGTCCCAGAGTCTCTGCACGGCTATATGCCGGAGTGGTTTTGGGTCGGCGGCGAATGGAAGACACCCAACGCAGCCCGGCACCCTTCCACCGAATTCATTTCTAACCCTTGTAAGCATTTTATTCATTCGGTTTTCTCGCTTCTGATTTATGGTCTTTCTATGCTAACAGGTCGGTGTTTACCTTTCAGTCCATAATCCCCGCGCCGAGCCGAGTGACGAGCTGGTCGCGAAGATCGAGACTTTGCTGGGACTTCACGAGGATAAGCGTCTCTACAAAGACCTTGTTTCGGAGGAGAGCCTGGTCGAACACAACCTTTCCCTCGAGTACAATAGCAAGTCTTTTGAGCCCGGTATTTCTCCTTCACTTCATTGCTTATTTTTCTCGTATTATTTACTTCTTCTCATTACTCATTCCCGGCCTCTTGTTTTCCCTTGGCAGTTTATTATCCCCTCCTACGCGAGTGTGGATTTAGTTCGGTTAAGGAGGCTACTAAACACGCCCGTGCCAACCCGAACCCACTCAAAGGTCGTAAGATGGCCAGCCGGATGGACTTTTTGACGAGGCAGTCGAAGAAGAAAGTCTCGGCTTCGAGCTCTGCGGGGACCTCGGACCCTGCTCCGCCGAAACCGACCTCCCAGACCGCCGCTGCCGAGGTGCCTGTCAGCTCGGCCCCAACTGCCGCCGCCCCCGCCCCTGTGGGCGGGAGAAGGAGCCGGACTAATATCCCCGAACCCGGCGCCGGTCAGAGCCAGGGTGCCGTCAATCGGGGCGGCCCTGCCCGACAGAGAAAGCGCCGGATCCTCGCGGAGGAGCCGGAGGAGCCCGTGGAGAACGAAGCCGGGCTGCTCGACAGCGCCCCGCCGTCCCCAAAAAAGAAGAAGGTCTCCGAGGTCCCGGAGGCTGCCACCGCGGATGAGAGGTTGGCCTACGTTCACCAGGCCGGCTCCTCCTCTTATATACCGGTGAATCCCAGCCGTAAGGCCAGCCTCTCCAAGAGCCTTGAGCGATTCCCGGACCAATGGTTCATCGACTCGGCGTCGGCGGTCCCACTCGACCTGGCCAAATCCTTACCGCCTGCCCGGGGAGGTGATGTCTGCGGCGCAGGCCGTGATGGCCTCCTGGACTCTGACTGCCGAGACGGCGCTGACCATGCTCTCGCCCACGCAGCTCATTCAACACTCGGTGGCGTCCATGGGCCGGACCATGGTTGAGCTAATACATGCTGCCGTGACGATGCAGAGGGAGGTCGACGCCCGCGACAGGGCCGAGGAGGACCTGGCCGTCTCCAAGGGTCGGATTAACGAGCTGAAGGACGAGACCAAAAGGATCTCGACCCTGGAGAATGAGCTGGTCATCCAGCGCGGAGCCGTCGCCGTGGCGGAGAAGGCGGCTGCCAAGGCCGCCGAGGATTTGGCCCGTGAGAGGGCGGCGTGGGCTCAGAGGATGGAGGAGGTGGAGACGAGGCGGGCCGTCGAGTTGTCGGCGAGCGAGGCGCGCCGAGCTGACGAGGTCCGCGGGCTGGAGGAAAAGCATAAAGCCGACCTCGCCCACCTCGCTGAGCTGCACGCCGCCGAGATGGCCGAGCTTAAGAAGAAGCACGAAGGGGAGGTCGCCGGGCTGGTGAGTTTCGGAAATAGGCTGACCTCGATGCCGGGGTGCTGTCCCTCGACGATTTCCGGGCCATCCTCGCCGAGAAGGCGGGTCGGCACGACCTGGATTTCGAAGGCCAGGTTTGCGAGGTCGACCCCGATGAAGCCGCGGTGGTCCGGAGGCTCCGGGGTTGGGATGACGACATCATCGTCGGCTTCGAGAAGTTCGGCGCCGTCCCGACCCTAGAGACATGGAAATTGGCCCCTGGGGAGGTTCTGCCGGCGTATAAGCCGTTCGCTCCCGAACCCGAGCTTGAGCCCCGGCCGAGGCGTGGGGTCGTCCTGTCCGTAATCGCCGACATGGAAGAGGCGGAGAAAGCTGCGGCTGCGGCGAAGGCGAAGGCAGCGGAGGACGCCGAGGTGAGGATCGGCACTTCTGGGGTGAAGGAGGTGGAGGTCGAGGATACGGCCGCGGCAGGGGCCGAGGTCGAGGTCGTGGAGGTGGACGCCGAGGCCGCTCCCTGAAGATTCTCCGGCCTGCGTGCTGCGGTTTTTCGGCCGCCTGTGGCCTTTTTAAGGTTTAATTTTTTGAATAGTTTGTTTTTTGGGCCTGCGAGCCGCTTTAAAAACTTGAATTATGAATGCTTTTTGTGTTTTTTGAATGGTTTGTTTTGAATGAATGAATTATGAATGGTTTGTTTTGAATGAATGAACGCTTTAAAGTATGGGTTTGGCGCCGAGCTAGGCGCCTAGTTATTTGCTCGGTCGGGCTCGGGATTGGGCTCGGCCTTTTATTTACTTATCTACTTACGAATGAATGACTGCTTATTCTCGATTTTTCCAAGTGTGGGCTTGGTGCCGTGCCGAGTATTTACTTATTTACATGGCCGAGTCCGAGATCGGACTTGGTACTTTGGATTTACTTACAGGGCCGAGCCCGGGATTGGGCTCGGCACTTTTTGTTTAATTTGTATTTTTCATTTCTTACATTGGCGCGGTGGCCTTACCGGGCTGCTTTGCCGAGCCCGGCTCGTGCCGGTCGAGTCATCGTACTGACCCGGCCCGCACATAATTATGTGGCAGCTTACCTGACCGATCTCGCGTTCGGGCTCGGAGGTATTATTGGCCTGACTGGGCTTCCTAGTTGAGCCCAGCTAGTGCCGGCCAGGTCATCGTACTGATCCTGGCCGACACTTCGTTCCTTACGTTAATTATGCCGCTTCGACTCGATCTATGCTTTTCAAGAACTAAAGTAGAATTTCAAAGTAAAGTATGTCAAACATATATCTTCACAAGCTTCATCCATTTTTACAAAGTAAAATTACAAAAAATGAAAATACAAGATCGTCCTAGACCTATTGGTAAAACTTTTTCAAAAAGGCCGAATTC